GCCTGTATTTATACAAGAATCGTATGTTGCCGAATGAACAACCAAGATACACAAATAGAGTACAAAATATATCTCTATCTCGTTTCGACACGAAAATATTCGCGCACCGTCTTCAAAAGGAACGCAACTCAAAATTACACGTTTGTCAGAAAATGCGAAAAACTATTTCTTAGCACATGATAATCATATCAACAAGGGAGACTTTGCCTTAGGTTTTTTTAACAAATTATAACAAAAATTTTCTCCGGCTTTTGCTGAAAGGTAAAGAAAAGCTCAGTGTACATTTTTAGCGCATAAATTCAAAAATGACAAATTTTGTGTTGTGTCGCTTTTGAAGACGGTATGTAATATCTCAACCCCATTATACTACTTTAGCAATGAACGGGAGAAACGTTTTTGTGTATATTATTATTTCTACACTGACGCTAAGGTATTATTTAATATTAGTACAGTGTACAGTGAATCAGTGTTAGTGTTCTTTCTTGAATAAAGTGAATAGTAGAAAATGGCTCGTACAAAGCAAACAGCCCGTAAATCGACTGGTGGTAAGGCACCACGCAAACAATTGGCAACAAAAGCTGCCCGTAAGAGTGCACCAGCGACTGGTGGTGTAAAGAAACCACATCGTTATCGTCCCGGTACAGTGGCTTTGCGTGAAATTCGTCGTTATCAAAAAAGTACTGAATTGTTGATCCGCAAATTGCCATTCCAGCGTTTGGTACGCGAAATTGCCCAGGATTTCAAGACCGATTTACGTTTCCAGAGTTCCGCTGTTATGGCTTTACAAGAAGCAAGCGAAGCATATTTAGTTGGCTTATTTGAAGATACCAATTTGTGCGCCATTCATGCCAAGCGCGTCACAATTATGCCCAAAGACATTCAACTGGCTAGACGTATTCGTGGAGAGCGTGCTTAAATAAATTACGAACGAAAAATCTCAATTTATAAAAAACGGTCCTTTTCAGGACCACAATTTTTTAAACAAAAGATTATCAAAAATCGTTTTATTTCGAATATACATACATATTTACAACATTAGTATTTTACCTACCGATTTTCACTCGTTTGCGAGGTATAAATTTGTGTACTGTACCTTTTGCATTTCAGTGACGCTGTTAGTTAGTTGTATGCATGCGCATGTACATACATATGTATGTATGTACATATATACGTAAAAGTATACCTAAATATGTATGTATGTGCAATTATTCTGTATCCACTGTGGCTTATTCAGTTATTGTACGTACACGTGTGTAAAAACAGTTTCTAAATAAGGGGCAATTTTGGCGCGAATCCAAGCGCTTGGACTCTCGAAGTGGTTGTTGATTTTATATGCACACAATATACATATAAAATTTCTTTGATTGGCACATATAATAAATGAAAATTAATCAACTATTTTTAAGAAAATATATTTAATCTCTTTGTAAATGAATTTTGTCGTCCTGAAAAGGACGGTTTTGTTGCGTGGATGAAATGTTTAAATTGACTGCAATGTACACTTTAAGCTTTCTTTTCGGTTTTCTTGGGCAAAAGTACAGCTTGAATGTTAGGCAAAACACCACCTTGAGCAATGGTCACACCAGACAGCAGTTTATTCAATTCCTCATCATTGCGGATGGCCAATTGTAAATGACGTGGAATGATTCTGGTCTTTTTGTTATCACGAGCAGCATTACCAGCCAATTCAAGTACTTCAGCCGCCAAATATTCCATAACAGCAGCTAAATAAACTGGAGCGCCGGCACCAACACGTTCTGCATAATCGATGTTCAAAGTCAGAAGCGTTAACCACTGACCTATGTACATCCCGTAAACTCTTGTTGCTCCCTGCTGAAGTCTGAAAAAAAAGAAGTCTGATGAGGAGATGTGGTGATCTCCGAAATAGCTGCTATAACTTCTACCGCTTAGACTTTGTTGCTTTTTCAATTTTTCCTAATAAACAATCGTGGTACAAAGCTCAATAAAAATATTAAAAATAAAATATTAATAAGCCACAATAACATTGACAATAAAGAATATCATTTGCGCAAAGAAAAATTTGTAAAGAGCTGTTGGGGAAATAATTCGTCTTTTTCATAAGAGGATACCGAAAATCCAATCGCGGGCCTTTGGCATATCATGAAGACCCTGCTAGCAAATATGCTTGTGTCGAATTGAGTTCTAGAGGTTGCTTGGGGCAGTGTTATCAAAGCAGAACCATTGCCGAATTTAATAAATTTCATGTCGCAGCGCGTAAACGATTTTTAGAAAGCGAAGAAGACTCTGCATGATATTATCATAAAACATATTTTCTGAATTTTTTAGTCCTTAAAATAATATCTCCTTAAATTACTACAACCAAAGTTATGTAAATATTAATAATTTTCCTTTAAAACTAACCAAAATATAAAAAACAAGAAAATGCATGTTTCTTTTAATTGGCTAGATTTCAATGTCCGCAACTGTATATTAAAAATACAAACGTCATTTGACTTATGGCATGTGAATTTGTGGTTGCCACACCCAACAAATTGTATTTAGTGATCAATATTATTGAAGATTTAACTTAAATCTACTGCCTTTTGAGATTTAATTTTATATGGTAAATCTCAAAATATTTAACGTTAAATCTCGCCAGAGGGCTAAATCTTGATTAAATCTCACAATGGAGACATAGTATAACTTAAGCCAGAAGAAGCGGACTTGAAATTGAGCCTGTCAGTCAGCAAAAAGGATGTCAGAAGCAAAAAGGATGCTAATGTATGAGTATGTGAATGTGTATATGAATATAGCAAAGTTTGACAGTTCAGATTTTTCACGAAATAGAAAAAATTCAAAACTGCAGCCTTTTAATCCCGTTGGAGGTAAATATGCATTAAAATTTGCTATCATTTAGTTTAAGATAATAATGGTATAAAATATTTTAAGATCTCAACAATTTTTATTGAGCCGATTCTAATGGTTCATATTAGAGCTCTAGATACCCGGGTATCGAGCAATGCGAGTAGCTCGATACTTGCTCGAAAATCGTTCATTGCTCAACTGCTCAAATGCTTGTTCAAAACTTTCGAGTTTTTGAAATTGTACTTGTCAGCAGCTGCTTTCTAATTCATGTTAAATAAATTATATTATTAAATACCAATGTAACAATCTTTGCATTATACATCAATAATTTGAAAAATTTAAAAAGTTGCTACCAAAAATGTCAATATAATAAAAAAACATTGCTCAAATTACTCGAAAAAACTCGAATTGCTCGAGCTCATGCTCGAAAATTTTCGAGTAATGAGCATTGAACAAGTGTGCGAGTACTCGCTGCTCATATACCCGGGCTGTTTGAAAATGTGCGAACAAAATCGAGAGCTCTACTTCATATCCCAGTGACAGTAGCGAAGAAGTCTGATAAGGATATGTGGTGCTAGTAGTGGTCGCCAATTTTTTTTTAATACAATTCATGAAATTGATTTAACAAATCTTTTATTTTAAAAATGAGATCTGTTATAATATAGTTTTTAAAACCAAAAACGAATATAATACCTTCAAAGGGTAATAATAAATAACACAAATCACTTATATAATAGTGATGTACAAACAATTTTCATTAAAAATACATACTTTTTAAAAATATTTACATTTTGCAATAGGACTGCGCAATTATTAAATTTATTATAACTCGTATTAATTGATTAATCGCACAATCCGCTTTTAAGAGCTCGGCGCTAAAAATAAAAAAAAAACTGTAATAAGGCGAGATCACCTATTTTCACAATTTCTTCAAAATCACCTTTAGTGTCTGAATCATTTACATTTTTGTTGTTGGCATATATTGAGCTCTTCAACCTTGATAACATACTGTTTGATACTGGAAACGTTTTTCAGCAGAAACTGTGAGCCTTCATACAACACTTTATTCGAACTATTGAATTAAGGCTTTCCAGCCTCATCCTATTTCGAATCTTAGTTTTTGTTGAATTCATTACTGAAAAAA